GGAAGAATCAGGTTTATATTTGATAAGTTTGGATAGGTAATTTTTTTTTCTATGTTTGAGATTGAATACAAGCCCTTCCTTGTACATGCTAGGCAGGTGCTCTACCACTGAGCCACACTCCCCCACCCTCTTTTTTTTAAGTTACTATGTAACAATTATTGTAAGTAGACTTGCAGAAGCTGCTGTTGGAATTATGGGATTCTTTTAAGCTAGGTTTAAAAGTCACTCATGAATAATAGCTTTGGCACAACATTTTTTTTTTTTTTTTGGTACTGGGGATTGAATCTAGGGGTGTTTTACCACTGAGCTATAACCCTGGTCCTTTTTTTTGGGTACTAGGGATTGGGTCTCGCTGAGTTACTTACAGCCTCAATAAATTGCTGAGGTTGGCATTGAGCTTGTGAACCTCCTGCCTCAGCCTCCCGAGCCCCTGGGATTACAGGAGTGTGCCGCTGTGCTCAGCAACCCGGATCTTGTGTGTGTGTGTGTGTGTGTGTGTGTGTGTGTTTTGGGGGGTACCAAGGATTGGAATCCGGGGCATTTGACCACTGAGCCACATTCCAATCACTGGTTTGTATTTTATTTAGAGAGAGTCTCACTGAGTACCTCACTATTGCTGAGGTTGGCTTTAAACTTGTGGTCCTCCTGCCTCAGCCTCCTGAGCCACTGGGATTACAGGTGTGTGCCACTGTGCCTGGCTATATTTTCTATTTTGAGACAGAATCTAAGTAGCCAAGGCTAGAGTTGCTGGGATTACAGGTGTGTGCCACTGTGCCTTAGGCTTAGTACAACTTAATAATTTTCATTTCATAAATGATTTTTATGTCTATTTTGTTAAATAATTTCTTTTTAGTTTTGAGATTGTTTTTAAATGTAAAATACAGATGTACATATGTAATTATTATTATTTAAAATATTTTTATAGTTGTAGATGGACAGTATGCCTTTATTTATTGTTATGTGGTGCTAAGGGTCAAATCCAGTGCCTCACACATGCTAGGCAAGTGTTCTACAACTGAGCTACAGCCCCAGCCCATATATAATTATTTTTAAATGTTACCTTTTAAGACAGTTTTTGATCAGGAATGGCTAACCTCTTGCTATTGTATGAAATATTTATGCTCATTTATTTTTTATTCTAATTATATATGACAGTAGAATGCATTTTGACACATCATACATACATGGAGTGTAACTTCTCATTCTTCTGGTTGTACCTGATATGGAGTTACACAGGTCATGTAATCATATATGCAAGTAAGTTAATAATGTTTGATTCATTCTACTATCATTCCTAGTCCCATACCTCCTACCCTTCCTTCACCCCCCCTGTCTAATCCGAAATACCTCTATTCTTCCCTAACCCCCCCCCCCCCCCCCCCGCATTGTGAATTAGCATCTGCCTATCATGGGCTCATTTTTTTGTGTTTATGTGTGCCTGTTTGCATTTAAGAATGGCAGTCTGAGACTTAACCAATGGGACCACCATTCAGCAAACAGATCTATATGTTGTGTATTATGTATGGACTAGGGATATGAAGAGAAATAAAACACCACCTCAGTCCTGGGTAAGAGGAATGATAAAGTTCTATGAATCCACAAACAGGAAGCAACTACACTTATCAAGGAGTTGGTAAAACCTTCCAATGAAAGAAAATTAGTTTTTTTTTTTTTGGCGTGTGTGTTTCATTACACAGCCTTAGCTAAGTTATTGAATGTGGAAGGAAACGTTCAGGATTTATCACTTTTTCTTCTTTTATTTTTTCCCCTCAAAAATAAAAAAAGTAATGATAAATGCATTTTAAAAATTCAAAAACATACCCTGAAAAATCTGCTTCCTATCCTGAGCTTTCATTCTCTCTCCTTGGAGTTAACTAGTGTTAACAATTTCCTGTGTATCAACTTTTGTAGTGAAAATTTTATACTTTCAGTTAAAGAATCCTATTTGCAATCTATAGACACCTTTTTGAGGATAAGTTCCTTGAATTTAGAAGAGTATTCAGGATAATTGGAGAGCAAAGTATAGGTTCATTTGGGGCTTTTTTTTTTTTTTTTTTTTTAACTTTTTAGTTATTCTTGGCTTTGTTCACTTCCTTCAGCTCTCCTTAAATAAAAGATTGTCTTCAGTCAGTCTGTATTCTAACTCTTTGTTTCGTATCAGTATGGGGCATTGTTTTTTAGTTATCTTCATTCTGCTTCCTATGCTGCTAGTTATCTTCATTCTGCTTCCTATGCTGCTATAGGCCAGACTGGTACCAAATGTTACGTATCTTTCATGGATTTCCTGGATTGTTGTAGGTCAGCCTTGTTTTTGTTAAAGTTAAGTTTATATTTTATATGTAAAAAACATAATGCTAAAGTCTCTGGTCATTTGTACATTATATTATATTGTGGGTATGTTGGTTCTTCTGGGAATTTACCTGGAATAATATAATAGGTGTGATTTAGAGGTGGAATATTTTCACTTTCTTGTTTGCCTGGTCCCTATTAAATTTACCATTTGTCCATTTTATATTGAGAATACATGGTAGTTCTACTATAAGGTTGTCTTTTTAAAAAACTTTTAGACAGAAATGGTGGTTGTATAAGATCTGAACTGAATAAGAAAACTGAAATGTACCAAAGGTATGGAAAATGTTTTCTTTAAGAGCCAGATCAAAGTCATTCTTTCATCTTTTGTCCCTAGTGTCTGGCACATAATAGGTGCCCAATAAATATTGAGCAGATTGAGACTGTATGACTGAATGAAGCACTATCAGTGTGAAGGGAAAATTTGCTTATCAGAAGATACTTGAAATTTGACTATTTAAAAATGTCATCTGGTGTCCTATTTGTATTTGTACTACAGGTATGGATCAGTGTTTTTCAAAATTTTTGGTGTCAATACCAGTTCATGTATTTAAGTTGGTTACTGAAGACTCAACAGTAACCAAAAAAAGAGCTTTTTTTTTTTTGTTGTTGTTTTTTAATACATTTATTTTATTTATTTTTATATGGTGCTGAGGATCAAACACAGGGCCTCACACATGCTAGGCATAGGCCACAACCCCAGTTCTCAACAGAGCTTTTATTTATGTAGGATATATCTATATTCTGTATTTGAAATTTTAAATGTACTTATTTGTTTACTAACACATTACATATAAACAGATAACATTTTTAAATGAAAAATAACTGTTTTCTAAAACAAAAACATCTATTGAAAAGAGTAGCATTGTTTGATGTATTTCACATCTTTTTAATGTCTGACTTAATAGAAGACATCTGGATTCTCATATCTGCTTATGCAGTCAGTTGTGATATCATTGTTATATACCTTTGAAATGGGAATAGTTTTGATTTGAAAAATACCCCCTGAAAGGGTCTCAGAACCTTAAATATCCTTAGACTATACATTTGGAGAACTGGTGGTATAGCTATAAATTCAGAGTAGAAAAGAAGACCTAGATATTTCTGGCTTATACAACTGAATAAGTAAGATAGGGAATACCTCATTTGATTATTTGAGGAATAATCATGAGTTGGCTTTTGGAGATTGAATTTGATGTAACTTTGAGGTTTCTTTGTAAGTAGTTGATATGCTTACAAAGTTCTGGACTAGAACTTTGGGAGTCATTGGCATATAGATGGTATTTGAAGTTTGGGGCAAGGGTGAATGTTACCTAGGGAGAGTGTATAGTGTTAGAAAGCAAAAAGCACAATGTCAAACCCTCCTGAACTTTAAGATTTAAAAGCTAGTTAGAGGGCTGGGGATGTGGCTCAAGCGGTAGCACGCTCGCCTGGCATGCGTGCGGCCCGGGTTCAATCCTCAGCACCACATACAAACAAAGATGTTGTGTCTGCCGAGAACTAAAATAAAAAAAAAAAAAAGCTAGTTAGAGAAGGATGAGTTACCAAAGGAGACTAAGAACTAGAACTAAGGATATAGAAAAGTCAGAGTATAGTGTATAGAAGCCATGGGAAAAAAGTATTTCAAGGAATCAGTTGAACATTTTGTTCCTGCAGGTTAAATTCTTCTCTACAAAGAGAAATATGAGTTTTGGGTATCATAGATGCTACCCATAGAATTATTATTATTTGGAAATTATTGGCCACTAGTGTGCTCAAGATTTGCTATTTTGCACTATGTTGTTGAGCCTGGCTCCCATGCATTGAGATTCAGTGAGCTTTGTGTATCATTCAGCTTCTCTGTGGTTTTTAACATACTCAGTCCACCATAATGATCTCTACTTGTGTTGTTTCACCTCATGGTGTGTATACCCCAAATAACAAATAACAAATATAAAACAAAGTGCAAGACCATAAGAGGCGTTCATCTCAATACGTTGTACTCTATTTGGCCAAATTTGTGTGGTATTATCAATTTGGAAAAAATGCTCTCAGTTCCCTTTTACTGAATGTATCAGAACCATTTCTTGTTAACTAATTTGGTGTTTTGATTCTTTTTACTACCTATATCAGACAGATTCATCAATTGAATACATCTGAGAGTCAGATTGTTCAGTTGATCCATTTTAGAGAGTAGTAAACTGTGATGAATGCTGCCTTAGCAGTCAAGAAGGTTGAGAACTGAAAATACCCATTAGATTTGGAGGTGAAAAGTTCTTTGGTGATATTAATGAGTGAGAGCTCTTGTGGAAAAATGGGGGTGGGAGTTACTTTAGAAGTGCTTTAAAAGTATCTGAATAGAGACCAAGTGCATTTGATTTTTTTTGAGAGGTTTATGAAGGAAAAAGAAGTAATAGAAGGAGGGTACAGGGTTGAGGGACTTTTTTTTTTTTTTAAGTAAGAAAACTTGATTAAATATAAATGCTGAAAAGGTTCTCACAGAAGAAAGGAGATTGGAGATACATGTGACAGAAAAATAATATAACTGATAGTTTTCTTGTGAGAACCTGGGTGGGGAGATCTAGAAGCAGGTGAAGTATTCTTATGGCTCCTAATCTCTAAAAGTTACTTGTTTCATTCTTTTCCCTTTCCCCTCATTTGTGAACTCTAAGCCTGCATGATATGAAAGACAATTAAATGGTAAGTGTAATTCTTTTTAATTTCTTGGTTGCTGTTAGTTTTGTGTAAACCTTTATAGTTTTCTTATGATGTAAATATTTTTGTGACAACTTGAAATGTAGACTCCTTGTTGACTTTAGATCATGTTTGTTATCAAAGTAAAAAAAAATTTAAATTACATCCTTATTTGACTTATTTATATCATTTTAACTGGATTCTTTTTTATATCACTTAATAGTTTTGGTGAAATTGCATTTCCATTTTCTTTTGGAAAGTTAGCCATCAGTTATTTTTTGGAAGTTGATTATCATAGAATGATATCAAATACAGTATCTCTTATTCATCATGATTTTTGACTTTAGTCTGAACAAAACAAATATTTATGTATATTTGACTTTTATTTGAAACAACTTGTTTCTCTACAAATGCCAGTTAAACTTATTTTAAAATGGATATTAGATTAAAACTCTTGAGTCACTTAAATGAATAATAAAAGTATTTTTAAATTTAAAGAAATTTAAGAAGCTTATAGTACAGTAAGGAGAATAAGTACAGTGAAGTCATTTGTTGTATTGTTGATTTCTAAAAACTGTGGCAAAAACATATGAGAGAGGAGTGGGCAATATTTAATCTTTAAAACAAATACAGGGCCTGGGACTATAGCTCAGTGGTAGAGCATGCTTAGCATGCTCAAGGCCCTGGGCTCCATCCCCACCACCCTACCCCACCAAAAAGCCACAAATATGAACATGTCTAAATTATGCCATTTCCTTCTTTCTCCACCTTCGTCTCTTGACAGTTTTTTTCTTCAGTCACATGGAACTTTTTGACGACTTCTACAGAATCATGCTCTTTTTTCCCCTCGGAACCTAAATCCTGGAAAGGTTTTCCTTGCCTATCCTTAGCTAACTCCTTTATCCATTGTTTAGGTCTCGGGTAACACACTCTCTCTCTACTTTCCAGAATAGATGAATTCTTTCCATTGTGTGCTTCCATAGAGCCTGTATTTTTCCTTATTTTCATCTCATTTATGATATGTATTCAATATAGTCCAGCCTTTACTTCTTGAGAACCCTGTTCTTTTCACAGCTTTATCTCTACTGCTTAGCACTATTCATTTCTGCTACATACTTGGCACCCAATTAATGTTTGTGAAATAAAAGATTGGTATGGGTCAGACTGAGGAAAAGTGTTTTCTTGACTATGGGAGGACAATAGTCTGATGCAGCATTTAGACGACCAAGGGATTTTCTAGAACAACTTACCTGCCCTGTTTAGGAGAGAGGGGAGAATAAAAGCTTCATCTGTGGACATTTGTGAGGAAGTCTTATCCTTTGCGGGGTGAATTTGGTAACCATTGAGGCACATAGATTATAAAAGCATTCTCTAAAGAAGTTAAAGTTCAGTGAAATTAGTGGAGCAGAGGTTTCTGAGGAAAATAGAATCTAGGTGGGACAGGAAGGTGATTCTGATGATGAGATTGTGAGAGAAGCTAGGGCAATATGTTATAGATGGTGGCTGAGTTTGAATATTATGAGAGGCATTATGGAAATGATTGTTAGAGGCTCCCAGAGGTAGGAGAGAGATCTGGATTTATTTTATTTGTCTGTCTATCTATCTATCTATCTATCTATTTATTTATTTATATTTTTTTCAGTCAATGTAAGGAAAATTTTATTGAGGTCCCAAGGCCATACATGGGGCTTGGGTAGGAGGCCACCCCTTGGGGAAAGGAGCCAGTGGAGGGGCTTTATTTAGACCTTCTTGGGGTGGAGGTTGTTGTTGTGGCCACACTTCTTCCTGCGGCAGTTCACAGCCGGGGGGGGGGGTGCAGGTGGGCATAACACTTGCGACAGATCATCTTGTCACAGTTGTACTTCTGGGCAAGCTGGCACAGGAAAGGCTCAATGATGCCACCTCTCAGGCAAAGCACCAAGTATAGAGTGGATTCTTTCTGGATGTTGTAATCTGGGAGAGTGCGACCATCCTCCAGCTGTTTACCTGCAAATATCAGATGCTGCTATCAGGTGAGATGCCCTCCATGTCTTGAAATTTCGCTTTGACATTCTCGATGGTGTCACTGGGCTCGACCTTGAGGGTGATGGTCTTGCCTGTCAGGGTCTTCACAAAGATCTGCATCTCTGCGTCTGCCGCTCGGGAGCCTCGTTGAAGAGAAAGAGCGAGATCTAGATTTAATTTCCAGTTCTTTTACTTACTAGCTGAATGACCTTGAACTAGTTCCATAGTCTGCCTGATAATTTTCTTCATTGGTAAAATGGATATTAGAGTACTTGTCTGATCAATTGTGATAGATTAGAAATAATATATAGAAAATAACAGTCTTTGTCCCACATGATTATTCACTATTAATTATCCACACAGGCACCTCCTATAGTGTTAGAGGTCTACAATTTTGACTCCTGGTTTAAAGGGATTGTTGTCAAATGTTCTGGAGCTTTGGAAGACAGATATTCTCAGGTTTAGTTCCCTCCATTAATGGAGTCATCAGTGTTTTTGGAATCTTAGGCTTTAAAGAATAGAATTGAAGATAATCAATCTGTAGAGCTATAGTTCTCAAAACTGGCTATGTAGTGGAATCCCTGTTGACCTTTAAAAATGGGAGAATTGTTATGCATCTTCTCATACCAGCTGATTTAGAATCTCTTGGAGGTAGAATTTGGGTATTTTTGTTTTTAATCTTTTAATAAAAGATTCTGCTCTGAAACTCACTTGCAGTGGGAATGATTGGGAATGTACATGTGGGATAGGTAAGTACTCTACCATTGAACTCCATCCTCAGCCATTGTGCATTATTTTTAATACGAGTTCATAACATGTGCCCTAGTTTTTTTTTTTAAAGAAGCATGCACATGGCCTGGGGTTGTAATGGTACAGCGATTGCCTAGCACATATGAGGCACCTGGTTCGATCCTCAGCACCACATAAAAACAAAAAATAATAAAAAGTGTTGTGTCCATTTACAACTAAAATATATTTTACGAAAAGAAGCATGCATACTATTTTGATAAATGTGCGTTCGTATATTCAAAATTCAGTGTCATAACGGTCTTTCTGAGTTTCAAGGGAAATTTTATGTTGTAGGTTTTTTTTTGCAATGATAATGACTTTTTAAATATGAAAAATGGGATTCAATAATAGCTCATAAAATGAGACTTTTTAATAGCAGAGTTACTCATAAATGTATGGAACAAATAAATATAAAATAGGCTAATTATATGCAACATTCTGAATGTGTCATCTCTATATATTTTTCTAGGGAGGGAAGTGATGGCCTTCATCATAGTCCCAAAGAGACCCAGTGATATAGAGAGGTAAACACAAACACAATACAACAGAAATACAACAGTTTCTTAACTCTTGGCATTATTTCTTCAGCTTTTGGGGTCCTGTTGAGAAAGTCGTTGCCTGTGCCTATATGCTAGCGTGTTGACCCTATGTTTTCTTCTAGAAGTTGCATAGTTTCTGATTTAATTCCTAGGTCTTTGATCCATTTTGAGTTGATTTTTGTGCAAGGTGAGAGATAAAGGTCTAGGTTCATTCTTCTACATATGGATAACAAGTTTTCCCAGTACCATTCTTAAAAAGATGTCTTTTCTCCAATATACATTTTTGGCACCTTTGTCAAGGATCAGATGACTCAGATGTATGGGTTTGTCTCTGTGTCTTCTATTCTGTACTGTTGGTCTATGTATCTGTTTTGATGCCAGTACCATATAGTTTTTGTTATTATAGCTCTGTAGTATAATTTGAAGTCAGGTATTATGATGCCTTAATCAAAGATTTTGAAAGATTTACTGAATAATTAAGGTGCTTCATGAGACTAGACATTAGAGTACTGAATTAAAATTATATTTATATCCTAAAACAGGATATAATTTTTTCATGTCACCTGAAAATATTTTTAGTATAGTATACATTGAGAAAGCACATTAATGCTCCACTTGGTAAAGTTTCAAAAGCTGAATATTTCCATGAAATCAGCACTCAAATAAATGAATGATTGAACCTAATTGATCAGCATCCAAGTAATTTCAGTTCAGTTAAATTCAGTTGCTCCAATTCCATTCACCTCTCAAGTCATCCAAGGGTAATGATTATCCTCACTTCTAGCGCCATAGATTACTTTTGCTTGTTTTATACTTTATGTAATAAGATTGTGTAGTGTGTACTTTTGTTTTTGATTATTTGTTAAACAACTCTATTATTCGTTTTTGATGTTCCTTAACAGATTTGTAATATTCAACTCTATTGCATATATCTATAATTAGTTCATTCTCATTGTTAATGGTGAATATACTATCATTTGTTTATACTATAAAATCTTACATAAATGTGGTAGTCTTAATATTTAGTTATTTGTATTTGAAGATGATTGACCATTAAAAAGGAATTTCTTGTGAGGCAGAGATGGATTTTTGTGTGTGTGTGTGTGCTGTCTCTGCTTCATCAGTGTTAGCCCTTAAACATAGAAATTATGGATACAAAAAAAAAAAAAAAGAAATTATGGATACAAATGCCATTTTGGATTATTTAACTGGTTTCTTCCTCCCACTGGAAAAATGGTAATGACTATGTATTTTAGCATTTATTTTATTTTTAAGTCAAAGAGATGTTTGTCCAAAGAAAATTTTTTCTCAAATCATTGACAAATTAGTAATACACAATAATATTGTCTATTACCATAATAGATAATAACCATCTTTGTTTAGTTACCATTTTTTTCAGTTTACTAGATCAAATATATTTTTATCAGAGAAAAGAAAAATGAGTTTTTAAATCTCTATTAGCTCTGATTAAAGTCTTTATGGTTGAAAAATTTTGAACTACTTGAGCATTTAGTGATTTTAGTTTTTCTATCATTTTCAGAAACCTAGACTTTTCTTGGGGAAATTCTATAATCTATGAAGAATTTTATTTTTAGAACATTTTTGAAGTTTTTTTTTTTTTTTTTTTTTAGGGAAAAAGTAAATCAAGATTACTTACTAATAGCTGAAATTAACTCCTTTAAAATTAATCGTACCTTTCATTTTATATATTGGACTTAGTAGCTAAGTTTCCTATTCTTTAACTTAAATTGGTGTCTTTAATATCCAATATAAATGTACTTCCTCTGCAGGAAGATAATTGGAGAAAATTTTATTAAATATGGCCAATGTTTAATAATATGTCTACTGTAAAGAACTCATTAAATTATTATGAAAAGCACTAAGATATTGGTAGGTAGGTAGGCAAAAGATGAGAAAGGATAATTTGCAAAAGAAGAATTAAGATTCAGGCCTGCAACAGAGTTTCATCTATCTTTCTATCTATCTATCTATCTATCTATCTATCTATCTATCTATCTATCTATTGTGGTGCTGAGAATTTAACCCAAGACCTTGTACGTGCAAGGCAAGCACTCTACCAACTGAGGTATGTCCCCAGTCCCAGAATATTTAATACTGCTGGCATCTATTAAATTCAAATTAAAGTAATTTCTTTCTTCCTATTAAATAGCAAAAGTAAAAAGAATAGATAATCTCAATATTCAAAGGTATTAATGAAGCTGGTAGTCCCTTCTTTTTTTGTACATCGAAAAACAGTTTGATGTTAAGTCTTCAGAGCGGCATGTTCTTCACAATTTTTTAGTCCAGTTTTTATACACTTTGCAGATCCTTTTCTAGATAAATGATCCAAATGCACAAACATGTTCACTTCAATGTTACTTGTAGTAAAGAAAGTAAGATATAATGTTGTATTGGTTATCTAATAACCTCCCACCCTCACCCTTTTGAAGTATTTTAAAGTAGACTTTTATTATCTCACACTTTGAGTAGGTGAGGAATGTGGGAGCAAATCCTTATATGGGTGATTTTGGCTCAAGGTTTCATAAGGTTGCAAACAGGATGTCAGATAGGGTTGTAGTCTATAAAGACTTGATGTGGATTTAACTTGAGTATCTGCTTACAGGAAAGCTCACTTACAGCTGTAGGCAGGAGGCTTTGGTTCTTTGCTGCACGGATCTGTTGGTAGAACAACTTGACTGTTTTCATGATCTGACAGCTGAATCCTTGGGGTTGTGGGGATGTGTGGAGAATGCCTTTTATAGCCTAGTTGCAATGTCTCTGTAGGGGTCTGAGGAGGTCTTCAGAAGCAGAGGAGACTACTACATGGGAAGAAGCTATCACCCTGTGGGGGGTTTGAGGTCTCCAGAACTGGAACAGACCTCTACTTGGACTTTCCAGGTCCTTGACCATGTTGCAGAAAAGGATTTATAGAGCCTCAGGTACGAGTAGCTGAACACCAGATTTGTCATAGGGGAAAGTACATGTTTGATAGTTGGGGTATGCGCGATCTTAGACTGAGTTTGGGGTTTCAGCCCCTCAGAGGGACAGTAGCTAGGGGGCTGAACTAGAGGTAGAGTCAGGATGGGGTTATATGCATTTAGTGTCAGTTTTCTTTGTGTGCTTTTCTATTGTCTATTCATGTTCTAATTCTGCTACTTCCTACATTTCTTATTGTCTTATTAGCATCTTAAATCTCTACCCAAGGGGTGTGTCTTACTATTAGGAAGCTAGAGTCATTTATTGGTCACAAAAGTCTCTAATATGCATGATCCCAAAAGGAGTAGTTCTTCCAGATGCCTTGTGGTTGTCTTGCAGGTTTATTTATTTTTTTTTTGTTTTCCATCAGTCAGTTGGCAAGCTATGGGCAAGGACACCCAGGTAAGGACTCTGGTGCAAGGACAACGGTTGAGGTTCTCATAGTTGTTCTGCATTCTAGTGGTTACTGGTATTTCTCTTGAGCCTCACACACTGTTCTCTCTGGATCCCTAAATTCCTCTCTCAGTGGAAGTCTTATATTGTCATTTCCACCACATTTGATGTTAGTTGAAAGTCTAACTTAATATTTCTCAGTGGGAGAAATATTAAGCTGAACCCCCTGCCCCACAACTCCCAGTACCAGTGATAGAACCCAGGGCCTCAGGTATGCTAGTCAAACATTCTACCGCTAAGCCTCATCTATAGGCCTTTTGAGACAGGATTTCACTGTTGCCCATGCTGCCTTGAGCTTCTTGTCCTCTTGCCTCAGCCTCCTAAGTAGCTGGGATTACAGACATGTACCACCATGCCTAGTTTAAATTCCAATTCTTGAAGAAAGGAATATCAAATAATTTTTAATGTATTTTAAAACCGCCAAAAATGTCCAGCAGTTAAGTAAAATGGGCACAGATCTGAATTTACAGTAATTACAGTAAGACAAAATTAGAACGTGCAAAATATCTTAATAATTGTGTTAGGATTTTGGAAATAGCGGTGAGCTTTTCTCCCTGTGTTTGCAAACTTTCTGTGTTGATATTATGTGACTTTGTTTTGGTACAGGGGATTGAACCAAATGCCTTGTGTATGGTAAGCACGTACTCTACTAAGCTATGGCCCTAGCCTTGTGACTTTTGTAATAGAATAATTCCTCTGTATTCATAGGAAAATGTCTTTTATCATCAAGCTAAGAATAAGCATATCATGTTTTTTCTCTTATATCTTTTTAATGTAGTAGTACAGACATAATAATAAAATGTATCATTTTTTTTTTTTTTATTTGGGGACGGTGTCTCATTATGTTGTCCAGGCTGTCCTTAAACTCCTAGGCTCAGGTGATGGCCCTGCCTTGTCCTAACCAGGAGCTGGGATTACAGGTGTGAGTCTGCATCAGGCTTCTTAACTTTTTAGTGTGTGTGTGTGCGGGGGGCTCAGATCCAGGGCCTCATGCATGATAGGCAACTGCTCTACCACTGAGCTCCACTCTTAGCCCCTTTTAATAATTTTTAAGTAAGTTCATTAAAATTAAGTAAATTCATATCATTGTACAGCCATCACTGCCATCTATCTCTAGAACTCTTAATTTTGCAAAACTGAAATTATATATTCATTAAGCAGTAGCTCCTTACTCCTCTCTTGCTCCAGCCCCTGGTGGTAACCACCATTGTATTTTCTCTCTGTACCTTATATAAGTAGAATCATAGTGTTCACATTTTTGTGACTACCTTATTGGACTTAACATAATGGCCTCAATGTTTATCCATGTTGTAGCATAGGTTATAATTTCCTTCCTATTATGGCTGAATAATATTCCATTATGTATATACAACACTTTGCTTATCTGCTTACCTTTTGAATGGACACTTGGACTCTTCCCATGTTGGCTATTTTATGAATAATGCTGCTGTGAACATTTACAAATACTCTTCAAGACTGTATTTGAATTCTTTTGGGTATATGTGGAATTGCTGGGTTTTATGGCAGTTTTATTTTTTTTAAACACCTTTATTTTATTTGTTTATTTTTATGTGGTGCTAAGGATCAAACCCAGTGCCTCACACATGCTAGGCAAGTGCTCTGTCACTGAGCTATAAATCCAGCTTGGCAATTCTGTTTTATTTTTTTTTTTTAATATTTATTTTTTAGTTGTAGTTGGACACAATACCTTTATTTTATTTATTTATTTTTATGTTGTGCTGAGGATCAAACCCAGGGTGAGCGCTCAATTGCTGAGCTACAATCCCAACCCATGGTAATTCTGTTTTAATTTTAAGAAACAGCCATACCATTTTCCATATATATATTCCTGCTAACAGTATACAAGGGCTCCAATTTTTCCTTGTCTTTGACAACTTTTTTTTTTTCCTTACGAGGTACTGAACCCAGGTGTGCTGTACCAGTGATCCATATTCCTAGTCCTTTTTAGTTTTTATTTTGATCTAGGGTCTAGCTTAATTGCACAGGTTGGCTTCGAGTATGCAATTCTGCCTTAGCCTCCTGAATAGTTGAGATTACAGAGGTGCATTACCACCACTCCTGGCTTATATTTTTTTTTCTTTCTTTTTTTTTTTTTTAATAGTTATCCATTCTAATAGGTGTGAAGTGGTCACATTATAATTAATTAAATAATTATTTTGGGGAGACTGTAGCTTCAACCTAGGGCCTTGCATGTGTTAGGCAAGTGTTCTGCCACTGAGTAAATCCCCAGCCTTCACAGTATAATTATTTTTAAAATATTTATTTATTTATTTTTAGTTGTAGTTGGACACAATACCTTTATTTTATTCATTTATTTTTATGTGGTGCTGAGGATTGAACCCAGGGACCCGCATGTGCTAGGTGAGCGTCCACCACTGAGCCACATCCCCAGCCACCCCCCCCCCCCCACAGTATAATTTTTTTAAAAACATTTTTTAGTTGTAGTTATTGATGGGCCCTTATTTTATTTATTTGTTTTTATGTGGTGCTGAGGATTGAACCCAGTGCCTCACACATGCCTGGCAAGTGCTCTACCACTGAGCTACATTCCCGCCCCCCACAGTATAATTTTTTTTTTTTAACTTTTTTTTTTAACATTTATTTTTTAGGTGTAGATGGACACAACACAATGCCTTTATTTTTATGTGGTGCTGAGGATTGAACCTGGGTCCCGCCCGTGCTAGGTGAGCGCTCTACTGCTGAGCCACAATCCCAGTTCCCCCACAATATAATTTTTAATTATTTATTTTTCTAAAGAAAAATAAAGTTATTGAATTATGATAAACTTTTTTATTTTGAGACATTCTTAAGGAGGATATAAAGATACATTTTAGAGATGATAGAATCCTTTTCTGACTTTCATATGAAGGGCAGGATAAGTTAGGTCACTTCCTTTATTAATGTTACTATAATATTGATGTTCAGTAAATAATGTCGATGTGATTGCAGGTAAATTGGCAGGATGAGGAGCAGCAAATCAAAAGAGGTGCCTTTACTAAATCCAAGGAACTCTCAAAGCAAGGATACTGTTCAAGGTATTTTTTTTTTTTTTTTCAAACTGAACTCCATCCCTTGTTTAGGTCATATATATATATATATATATATATATATATATATATATATAAAATCCTGATCTAATCAAGAAATGAAAATTATATACACGCTTGGTTTATAAAAAGTGGATAATTTTAAAATTTACTTTTGATTTGAATATAAAGGTGTCTCACCTTAAATGGAATTCTGTGATGAACTGTTTTGTAAAGAAAAAAATCTTTCTTTTTTTGAAATGAAACTGTATATGTAAAATTAGTTTTATACAATTTTTTTAAAATTCTGACTTAATGTCAGTAAATGATATAATGCAGTTCCTAGTACAGTTACAGTGCGCTGATAATAACAAAAGAAATACTCTCCAAATTGAACTCCTTTTAAATAATGCATTAGAGGTAACTTTAAGGCATGATATTTAAGGGAAATCAACTGGAATACATCTGGAGGAAGATTATTGGGATTATGAGGGACCTGGAAATCAAGTTAAATGGGAAGTATTTAGAGGAAGTGAAAATGTGTATGCTGGGAAAGGATGACTTGTGGGAAATACGTGGCCTTAAAATATTTGAAGGGCTTTTATCTGAAAGACTAAATAGACTTTACTTCTATTGGTAGCTTGAAGTTGGAGTAGTTTTCTAATTTTTTTTACATTGTAATATGAAATATAAAACAATGCAAAATTTTCTATTTGTTTAACTCATTGGGGTAAATTGAGGATACTGTTTATTTCTGGAGATGTCTGCTCTAGTTATATACATTGTTATAGGTGGAATATCAGTCCAGCTGTCCTAAGGACTAATGGTATCAGTGTCTATTTAACTATTTAATTACATGTTGGAAAAGCTTAACATTTACAAATATGCTAGTTAAGGAGAAAAAGCATATTTTGGTTCAGTATAAAAAAGTACTTGCTGAGAAATAGTTTTGCCTAACAAAGTGGTTCTCAAACTTTTGAGTGTTATTTTGGAGCTTTTTAAAATTAATGTTTCAGACCACTTCAGAGCTTCTGATTGAGTAAATATTACTTTTTCCCAGTAGACATAACCACACCGTGGGATGCACTTTCTCAGACCAAGGCTGCTGTAAGTAGTGTTAGCTTCACTTTTTAATTTGTTTTGAAATTAATTTTTTGTTGTGATTGGATAGATTAAAATGTTTTTTGTAGCATTTTTTTTTGAAAGGAAAGTTATGGTAAGAAGTTATATCATATATATTACAAAATGAACATATTAAATAGTAGAAAAATAAATAAGACACTAAATATCAGGAACACTAGCCCTTGGCATATAAAATAAACTTATGCTATTTACTCCCCGTTTATCAAGTTGTTCATTTGACATGTTGAAATGAAGATTTAAACAGTGAATTTGAGAAGGTGGTAAGGCTATGTGTATGTAGAAGGCTCATTGTCAGGGAGGAAGTGTAAGGAACCAGCATTTCCATGAATGAACTGTGAGTTACTGTGTGTGTGTGTGTGTGTGTGTGTGTGTGTAAGAGAGAGAGAGAGGGGGCGGGAGAGGGAGAGAAAGAAATAGGCTGTTTTCTCTATACTGTTAAAGAAAAGCGATTGTGGACAATCTGTTCCCATTTGTGTTCTCAATCTTGTCTGGGTTTTAGGAATTTAAATATGCAAGCAATACTTACTTCCAGACTTCAAAGAGAGACACTACTCTTTCACTTGCTTTCTGGGGAAATAGTTTTCTAATAGTCTTTTTTTTTTTTTAATTTTTTTTCTTCTAGTTGCCAATGGACCTTTACTTATTTATATGGGGTGCTGATAATCGAACAATTCCTCACCCATGCTATGCAAGCACTCTATCACTGAGCCACAATCCTAGTCTCTCTAATAGTCTTTTTTTAAAAATATTTTTTTAGTTATAGGTGGACATAATATCTTTATTTTACTTTATGTGGTGCTGAGGATAGAATCCAGTGCCTCACGCATGCTAGGCAAGTGCTTTACCACTGAGCTACAACCCCAGCCCCTTTTAATAGCCTTTTCATAGCCCTTTTCTGTTTTGTGTACCACCTAAATTTGAATCACCTGTTTTTTTTACTGTTTGAGTATTTTTGTGGTGTTTTCTGTCCTATGATCTTAAGAACTGTTTTTGAAATGAAAATGAAATCTGGAAAAAATTCAAGATTTTGAAAATGAATCTGGAAAAGGTCCCAAAGCAGGGTTGGATTTGGCAAAAATTCTGTCTTTTTACATGAGCTTTATGTATTTATAATATGGGAGTAGTTTTTAATACACCAGTTTAATTTAGAGCTAAGCTAATTCAAAACTATACTGCTGAAAGTTGTTTTTCAAAAGTATTAGGTATTTTTGAAACAATTTTTAAGAAAGTATAAGGGACTCATAAATAAGAAAACCCTGATAGAGAAATATTAGGGTTAAGAAATACAGAATTTTTTTTTTTTTTTTTGCTACTGTGAATTGAACTCAAAAACACTTTACCACTCACTGAACAATATCCCCTGCCCTTTTTATTTGTAGAAAGGGTTTTCCTACATTGTCTAGGCTGGCCTCGAACTTGTGATCCTCCTGTCTCAGTTTTACAAGTGAATGGGATCATAGGCATGCATTACTATGCTCCGAATCTTAGAAATATTACTATGTAAATGATTATTCCAATTTTTTTAGTACATACAAAAATGTGCAAGAGGATAAATGGAAAGATTATATAAAGTATTTATTTCTGTGTGATAGAATTTCAATGATTATAACTTTTTCTGTTTTCATATAATCTCCTATAAGCATGAAATACTCTACCAGACAGGAGAATATGCTCACTGAGAACATTGGCATTTATACCAAAAGTTGACTTATCTTGCAAAGTATACTCAAAATCTGAAGTCTATCCTGTGAACTTTGTCTTTATTATGAAACTTATTTTGTAGACAAACAACTGTAAAAAGTTGTAGCTCTTTTTTTTTTTTTAACAATTTCAGTATCATTTTTTAAAAAAATTATTTTGTAGTTGTAGATGGATAGAATGCCTTTATTTTATTTATTTTTATACTGTGCTAAGGATTGAATCCAGTGCCTCACACATGCTAGGAAAGTGCTCTGCCACTGAGCTAAAGCTTCCGACCCTCAAAATCATTTTTAATTTGCATTTGGTGATTATACATAATAGTAGAGTTCATTGTTACATATTTGTACATATGTACAACATAATAATAATCGTTTGGTTAATTTTGTTCCCTAGTAACTCTCCTTTCTCTCCCTTCTCTCCCCTCCTTTCTTCTTTGGTCCCCTTTCTCTATTCCACTAGTCTCCTTATTTTCATGAGATCCCCACCATCACCTTTTCCTCTCTTTTTTCTCTCTAGCTTCTATATAAGAGAGACAACATATAACCCTTGACTTTCTGAGTTTGTTTTGCTCATTTTAAAGTTTGACTGTTCATCTTTTTTATTATGTATTCTGGATATCAATCCCTTATGAGATATATGATTTGCATATATTTTCTCCCATTCTATGGATTTTTTGCTCTGTTATCCTATTATTTGTTGATTCACTATTGATTTTAATCTTTTTTAAAAAATATTGTTTTGAGTTGTTGATGGATGTTTATTTTATTTGCTTATTCATATGTAATGCTGAGAATTGAACCTGGTGCCTTATACATGCTAGGCAAGTGCTCTATCACTGAGCCACAGCCTCAGACTGATTTTAATCTTGATGAAGACCAGGTCATTTGTTTTTCTTTTGTTGTTGCCTGTGCTTTTGGTATCATATCCAAGAAATCATTTCCAAATCCAATGTCCTGAAGCTTTTTCCTTATGTTTTCTCCTAAGCATTTTTTAGTTTTAGTAGCTCTTTTAATAGTCCTAAATTGCAGTCCTTTTAAACATTCTTTCCTCACTTTTGCATGTAAAATATACAACATACATTTCATAAGGATATGCCACATATAATATCAGATTATTTACTGCTTTAAAAAAGCAGTTACACTGGGCATGGTGGTGTATATCTATTATTCTAGCTGTTCAGGAAGCTGAGGCAGAAGGATCTTACGTTCAAGGCCAGGCTGGGCAATTTAGTAAGATTCTGTCTCAAATTAGAAAAATAAGGGGCTGGGGTTTTGGCTCAGCGGTAGAGCGCTTGCTTAGCATGGGCAAGGTGCTGGGTTTGACCCTCGGCACCACATAAAAATAAATAAAATAGAGGTATTAAAAATAGTTTAAAAACAAAGTGTGAGATGTAGCTCAGGGTAATCTTTTTTTTTTTTTTTTTTAAAGAAAGAGTGGGAGAGAGAGAGAGAGAATTTTTTTAATATTTATTTTTTTTTTTAGTTCTCGGCGGACACAACATCTTTGTTTGTATGTGGTGCTGAGGATTGAACCTGGGCCGCACGCATGCCAGGCGAGCGCGCTACCGCTTGAGCCACATCCCCAGCCCCTCAGGGTAATCTTTAGTGCCACAAAAAATAAATAAAAAAATTTAAAAAATAATTAAAAAATTGTTCAGGGCCTGGGGATGTGGCTCAAGTGGTAGCGCGCTCGCCTGGCATGCGTGCGGCCAGGGTTCGATCCTCAGCACCACATACAAAAAAACGAAGATGTTGTATCTGCCGATAACTAAAAAATAAATATTAAAAAAAAAATTTAAAAAAAAAAAAAAAAAAATTGTTCAACATTATGAATAGAAACTCTTTGAGGGCTGGGTTGTGGCTCGGTGGCAGAGTGCTTGCCTAGCATGTGTGAGGCACTGGGTTCTATCGTCAGCATCACATAAAAATAAATAAATAAAGCTATTATGTTCATGTACAACTAAAATATTAAAAAAAAACTCTTTGATGGTTTTAACAATATTTTTTATATTCTTGTTCAGATTTGGGGTGTATTATACCCGAAGTGTAATTATAGAAGTAATAAGTAATAAAAAAAGCTAATATTAAACGAAAGCATCCTATGTTTTTTCTAATTTGGTGAAAGATATTAGGCAATAAAGTTTTAAATAACCCTGTAAATTGAGAGTAGCTATATTATTTATAAAATTAATTTAATATGTTGTGATTGTGTTTAAACTTTAGCTGAGACATATTGAAAACAAATTAGAAGTAGCCCCTTCAAGTACAGCTGTGTTTGATTCTGTCATGGATGCCAAGAAATCTTCTGCAAGTGCTATCCGAAAAATTAGTAGAAAAGGTATGTATGAGTTATTTCCAAAGACATAAATATATAAAATGTAAATTTTTATGTTTTGTTTCAGTTTAATATTTTCTGGATAGTTCTATGTATTTGCTTGTTTTTTTCTTTTTCTTTTTTGTCAGAGACTATAACTCATTAGCATTTAATGTTTTTCTTTGGTACTCAGTAGTTTTGAAGCAGCCTCATTTTTCAGTGAAGGGAGATGTTTTCATCATCTATTGATAAGGGACGTTAGCATCATTGTATCACCTTTGATAGTGAGTTTTTAGTTTATAGCCACAATCATACCATTCTGAGTTTTTGAGGTTATTAACATATATCTTTTAAAAAAATTTTTCATGTACATTACTTTGAAAGTGAAATTTGACTTAATAAGATGTATTTTTTTATTGGGCTTTAAAATTATAAGTGAAATATCTTTTTTTTTTTTTTTAAATTTTTTTTTAGATGTTGATGGACCTTTATTTTATTCATTTATTTATATATGGTGCTGAGAATCGAACCCAGGGCCTCACACATGCTAGGCAAATGCTCTACCACTGAGCCACAACTCCAGCCCTGAAATATCTTTTATACTATCACAAATTGACACAATGGAAATGTTTTCTTTGGTTACCTTTCACACACTTGATTCTGTGGTTTCTTAATTGGTGGGCAAGTTGGTACTCTCTACTTAACCTGCTTTTTTTAAACCTGTGAGTTTATTGGGTTTTATCTAATACTTTTTAAGTGAGTGAGAGCCATTTGTAGAAAGGAGTTCTGTAGATTTTTATTTTGCATCGTCTGCTCAGAATAGTCTTTATAAATTGAGTTACTGTACTATTTTAACCCAAGTGTTTTCCACATCCTTATGTAATATCCAATCAGAGATGTTAGGTCCTTTTTTTTTTTTTTTTTTGGTGGTGCTGGGGATTGCACCCAGGGTGAGGCAAGCACTCTACCATCTGAGCTATATCCCCAGCCTAAGATGTTAGAAATAACACATACCTAAGTTATTTTTTTTTTTATATATAGTAGTCCAAGTCATAGGCAGTCCTATTTTATGTCATATGTTCTCACAGATTTCCTTTTCCTTCAGACGGTAGATACCTAGATGATTCTTGGGCCAATGTTCCAACTTCCAAGTCTGCTAAATCACGAAAAGAGAAATCTCGTAGTCCTCTCAGAGCTACCACCCTGGAGAGTAATGTGAAGAAAAATAATCGTGTGGAATTTCGTGAACCTTTGGTTTCCTACAGGTGAGCATTGGGAAAAAAAAAAAAAAGCAAACTAGAGTTAACCCATAATGTTTATAATAGGATAGTTGATTTTGTCAGTTTTTTTTAAATACTCCATGAAGTAGTATTATAATACTTTATTATTATTATTGTTATTTAAAATATTTTTTTAGTTGTCAATAGACCTATATTTATTTATCTGCGGTGCTGAGAATCGAACCCAGTGCCTCACACATGCTAGGCAAATACTCTACCACTGAGCCACAACCCCAGCCCATAGTATTATTGACTTTTTTTTTCTCCATAAAAAGATAGGACAAAAATCTTTCATGTTATGAAATACTACTGTGTCCTTTTTTTCTTTTGTGGGTCTGGGGATTGAACCCAGGGCTTCTTTCATGCTAGGCACTTGCTCTGCCACTGAACTACATCTCCAGCACTGTATCTTCTTTTAAAAAAAAAAAAAAAAATTATTATTTTTTAGTTATAGGTGGACACAATATCTTTATTTTATTTTTATGTGGTGCTGAGGATCAAACCCAGTGCCTCACGCTTGGTAGGCGAGTGCTCTACCTCTGAGCCACAACCTCAGCCCATGTAACTTTCTGGGGGTCAGAAAATAGTAATACTTTCCCCATCAGTGGAATAAATTCATCTCTTAGAAATAAATGATTCAGTCTCTGGAAGTTTGCCCCCCCCTTTTTTTAATATCTCAGATTAAGTATTCTACATAATGGACTTTGTGGGTAGTTTAGTTTTCTTATTTATTTATTTACTTTTTTTTTAGTGTGATACAGGGGATGAAACCCTTGGATTCACATATGCTAAGCATTGTATATAGCTTAAGTTTTCTTTTTTTCTGGTAGTAGTAATAATTTACTTAAATTTTTTTTCTTACTGAGAATATAAATTGGTTATTGTTTTATTTTGTTGTGACTCCTTTCTGCAACTTAGATGTTCAAGATGAATGAATGAATTTTTTAAACATAGTTTAGAATATTTAACTCTTAAAATTATAGAATTTTGTATTTATTTGAGGAATACTAATAATTTAAATGCATATGTGCTCTTAGTATGGCAAATAATAAGTAACAAACAACACTGGACCATATATTTCTTTGTTTCATTTATAAGCATTTTTGTATTTTATAATGTCAATAAATCAAGAAGTTTCTTGATGGTTCTTAAAATTTAATGACTTGGGAGAAGAAGTAGATAATGAGTTCAATTTTTAATACATTACATTTGATGCAATTGTGAATTACCTTGGTGAAGGCATTCAGTAGACATTTGAAAATATGGATAAGAAAGTATGTGGAGTAGTCAGGGCTAAAGGTGCAGAGTTGAGAGTTATCACTGGTATTGAAGCAATAAAGAATAGTATAAAAGTAAAGAGAAGGCCAGGTACTTAATATGAGTAAATAGTTCATGGTTTAGAAAAAGGAATAATTTGAAGAATAATCAAAGTTAAGAATCTCTACCATACACATTTTTTTTAACATATAGTTATTAAGCAGCTTGCTTAGAAATATAGTCACTACTTGAAATTGAGTCTGAGTTATTGACAATATTCTAATGTTCTTCTTGCAAAGAATAATACTTGGTATTTAAAATTGTGTAAACTATGTATCTTTTAAGAAAAAAATACCAGACTATAGCTGTAAGTAGACTGTCTTCTCCATCTTAGCAGACTCCACTTATCTCCTAAAACTCATTACCTTCTGTTTGATACATGGCCAGATCTGTTCCTTCTCCACTCCATTTTCCTTGCCAAGTTAATCTGTGCTCCAATAATACTAGGTAACTACTCTGTTACAGCATTTTCACTTTACATGGCATTTTTATTTCATACTTGCCTAGTTTGTTTTTGGTTCTAGGGATTGAACCCAGGGGCATTTTACTACAGAGCTTCATCCTCAGTCCTTTTTATTTTGAAACATGGTTGTTTCAAAATAAAGCTGTCCAGGCTGGTTTCCAACTTGTGATCCTCCTGCCTTAGCCTCCCAAGTTACTGAGATTTCATAGTGGACTATGTCTAGTGCTACAGCAGTCTTTAAGGGCATAAATCTTATTCTCAAAGCATTAGCTTAATGCCTGGCATGTGCTAAATATCCAATAAGTATTTTTTCCTAACATTTTATTATGAAAAATTTCGAATTTATAGGAAAGTTGAAAGAATTGTATAATGAGCACCCTTATACATAGTAAATATTTAATGAGTGATTGAAAGACTGTGAAATTACTTTTTTGTGTGTCAATTTTCTTTCTCTTTTTCAGATTCAGAGATGTTACCTATCATTTTATTCTTTATTTTATTTCCTAACTGCGCTAATTTTAAACCTAAGTAATTTTAGCTATAAATTATTGCATTCTGGTCAAGATAGTGAAAATAATTGCAGTTAGTTTTGCTCTCTGATGGCAGCTATAGGACTCATTTCTCAACCCCATTTTGTTCAATAATCAACCACTCCAAATAGGTCCTATTTTTGGGTGGTGGGTCCCTTTGAGAATCTGATGAAAACTGTAGACTATCTCCTTAGGAAAAATGTACATGTTTGTACATTCACAATAGACATAATTACCATATTATGTTGTAATATAGTCATGCCTGTAAGAATTTTTTTTTTTAATTTTTTATTGTTGGCTGTTCAAAACATTACATAGTTCTTGATATATCATATTTCACACTTTGATTCAAGTGAGTTATGAGCTCCCATTTTTACCCCATATACAGATTGCAGAATCACATCAGTTACACATCCATTGATTTACATATTGCCATACTAGTGTCTGTTGTGTTCTGCTGCCTTTCCTATCCTCTACTATCCCCCCTCCCCTCCCCTCCCCTCCCCTCCCCTCTTCTCTCTCTGCCCCCTCTACTGTATTTTTATATTTAGAATTTCAAGCCTTCACATGAAATGGTATGGATTAGGCTATACAATACCAATATTAATGTAAGCCACAGTGTAGTTAAATGCAAAAATAAGATGTTTTATATTTCCAAGTCTTTTTAATCCAATATGTAATTTATATTTCAATACCTCTCAATTTGGACTCGCCATATATTATTTATTCAGTTACCATGAGGCTAATGGTTACTTTTTTAGACATTGAGGATCCAGACTACTGTTATTCTATTTTATGTTTGTTTGGTATTTTTTCATAATTCATGTACTGAGTCCTGTTTGTCTTCATTAACTATGTTTTTTGATAGTCTGCTTTCTTTTTTTAAAAATTTTTAAAAAATATTTATTTTTCAGTTGTAGTTGGATACAATACCTTTATTTATTTATTATTATGTGGTGCAGAGGATCGAACTCGGCCTTGTACGCGCAAGGCGAGCGCTCTCCTGCTGAGCCACAACCCCAGCCCTGATATTCTGCTTTCCTAAAACAAAGCTTATTACAATGATGTGTAAAATAAAAGTCTCTGAAGGAAGATTTGCTGGTGTTTTAATGAACAGAGAATATGAACTTTGTGCTGTGTACTTTGGCTCTGCCTAGTCTTCCCTGATTACTCTTGAGTTTTTAGATACACTTTATGTAGTTTAAAGCTGCTAAAAAGTGCTCTATTGTAAGAGGTTTAACTTTACTAGACACATTTATTTGGAGGAAATTATAGCTTTATTTCTGCTCCCAATCGATGAGGTAATTTGGTACATTATTTAGAAGTTACAAATATGAAATACTAGTTTTGAGAATTTTTGTTCCTAATATTTAAGATGTCAGAGGAATAAATCATACATATTGATAACAGATAACAAATGAATACCCAAAGTTAGATTGTAATCTTATTTTCTTGGAATTCTTTTTTTTTTTTTTTTTTTTTAATTTTAATGTTTATTTCTTAGTTCTCGGCAGACACAACATCTTTGTTTTGCATGTGGTGCTGAGGATCGAACCCCGGGCCGCACGCATGCCAGGCAATCGCGCTACCGCTTGAGCCACATCTCCAGCCGTTTCTTGGAATTCTTAAGGAAATCTCTCCACACACACTTTATATATTTTTTTGTTGTAAAATCTGCACATTATTTGTCATTTAACTTGAGATAAGGGGCAAGGAACACTGAATCGTAGTATTAGTAATATTTATTTTACTGTTTTTAACTTTTAATTTCAAAGCTTTTTACTTTAATTTTTTATTGACTGCTAGTGTTAGCTTTCTTTCAGTTTGTTTGACTAGTTTTTGAACACTTACTAAAGTTTTAAAAAAAGGTTTTTAAAAATGACCAGCAAAAATCTTTTATACCTATGGCATACAACCTGTTGTTTTTATATATATTCACATTGTACACATTTAGAGTTGCTAAATCAACCTTTTTAACATACGTAATACCTCATATACTTATTGATTTTTTGTGGCAAAAGCCTTTAAAATCTACTTATCAATTTTCAAGTCTATAGTATTTTTTTTTGTTGTTGTTTACTAAAGTCACAAAGCTTTTTTGTTATTATTATAGGGAAATTCTTGGTGCATCTTCCAACTTAAGTCCCAGCCATCTGGAGTCAAAGCATGTATATTGTGTGGATGTTAATGAAGAAAAGGCTGAGAGCGGGAACCGGATGCTACACAATCAAGAACGGAATATACATTGCTGTGACTTTGAGAGCTCCCAATCATCTGTCATCAGTGATACAGTTGTAAGGTTTTTAAATGATCGACCAGCAGTTGATACATTGCATAATTCAGAATGTTTGATTAAGATGGGAACTCCTATGAGGATTGAAGAAGAAATGCCTAATAGAGCAAAAGGAAATGAGAACAGTTCAAAGCTTTCTGTGAATAACATGGGCCATGATGTTGATCCAAAAATGTTACGGCTAACTGACTCTTCTCCATCCTCTGCTAGCACTTCTAGTTCCCAAAGGTTAGATATTTTAAAGCGGCGACAACATGATATTAAACTGGAAAAACTCAAGGAACGGATTAGGAAACAATGGGAACACTCAGAAGAAATAAGTGGCCGGGGCCAGAACCTGGGTCCTATTGATCATCCAGTAATGGTTGTTAATGTTGATAGCTCAGTGACAGCAAAAGTCAGGAAAGTGGCAACAGCACCCCCCGCTCCGACATATAAAGGTTTGTAATCAGTCTTCATATCCTTGTCTCTCTTCCTGCCCTCTGTTCCCTGTTTTCCCTAGGATGTATTTGAGTAGAGATGATTATCTTAAGAATAGGGTGTGAACCTCAGATTACCTGTTGTGTTAATCAGTTTTGCTTTCCTGTAACCAAAATATCTACAAGAGCAACTTAGATGCAGAAAAGTTTATTTTGGCTCAGGGTTTCAGAGGCTTAGTCCGAAATCCATTGCTCTGAGCCTAAGGTGAGTCAACATGATGGCCGAAATGGGTGGTAGAGGAATGCTACTTAGCTCATGGCAACCAGGAAGCAGAGAGAAAGGAGGAGGAGCTAGGGAGAAGATAAAATTCCCAAGGGCGCACTCCAAGTGACCCACCTCCTCCAGCCATACCCACAGTATATCTACAGTTACTACTTAGTCCTTTCAAATTATTAATCCATCAAGTAGATTAATCCAACAAGTGGATTATTCCAACAAGTGGATTATTCCAACCCTAATCCACTGATTTAGGGCACATCTCTCTTAGTGTAATCATTTTACCTCCTACATTAACACTGGAACCTTTAGGGGATACTTTATATTTGAAACCATAATAACTGTAAAAAATTATGTTAAGATACATGTTAAAAATGCGGACTCCTGGGTTGGGGTTGTGGCTCAGCAGTAGACTGCTCACTTAGCATGTGCAAGGTGCTGGGTTCGATCCTCAGCATCACATAAAAATAAATAAATCAAATAAAGGTATAAAAAATTATATATAAAAAAGTGGATTCTCAGATCCTTCATAGGATTCTTATTGATTGAGACTTATATGAATGTTTAATAAATTGTGAAAAAAACCTAAATAGGACGAGTACCACTCTCCAAAAATTGAAAGAATGTTGCTCTTATTGCTTTTATTCTGCCATTATTTCTGTATTAGGAATTGTTTCAAAAGTAATATTTAAAGAAAATTAGCCAATTTCCAGTGTATATTTGGGTACAAGTTGATCCTTTTGCTAAATTTATTGAGGTATTTTTTATATAAGGTCTACAGTAAGAACCTTTGCTATACATGCACACAGTGAAATTCATGTATCCATCACCTTACAGTTCCTTTTATGTGTGTGTGTGTGTGTGTGTTGTAAGAGCACCTAAAATCTACTCTTTTAGCAGATTTTCATTATAGAATACAGTATGATTAACTGTAGTTTTCATGCTGCTACTTTAGATCTTTAGACTTATTCATGTCATATAACTTATTCATTTTGTATTCTTTGTATCCATATCCCTGTAATATAAGTATGTTCATATAACTGATGAGCTTTTGCTTTTAAGGGTATTTAAACCTACCCCACTGCACAAACCTCTACTTAATTCCTGGCTTTTAAAACTTCTGAAAACTTTCAGTTTTTAATTGCAGATCCTCTTGCTATTTTTAAAAAATATTTATTTCTTAGTTTTAGGTAGACACAATATCTTTATTTTATATTTATGTGGTGCTTAGGATCGAACCCAGTGCCTCATGCATGCTAGGTGAGCACTCAACCACTGAGCCACAGCCCCAGCACCTCTGTTGCTATTTTAACCTTTGAGTTTTCTTGTAAAGGCCTTATCTTCCATATTTAAGAAAAATATTTAAGTTAGATATATGCCAAAATTGACATATTTTCATTGAGAAAGTGCTTTTCAGAGCTAATTTCTTTTTTAGTCAACTAAAATTCTTATATATGGTAGTTTGAAGGAATTTTGTTTTTCTTTTTTATGTTTTTGTTCCTTAAATTATTTTTATTCATGAGAAGTTTTTAATGAATAATTGATTTTTTTTTAGTTGTCAATGGACATTTATTTATTTATTTATTTATAAGTAGTGCTGAGGTTCGAACCCAGTGCCTCAAGCATTCCAGAAAAGCGCGCTACTGCTGAGCCACAGACTCAGCCCAATAAATTGATTTCTTAATCAGTGTAGTTCATGTTAGACTTTTATCATTAAAACTTCTACCATCATAGCTATTCTCTTATGGTATTTTTTTCAAGTTCAGTTTTTGTAGATAAATGTAGGCAGGTCAAAATATTGTTAAGATTCTATTTTGTCTTTAACTACTGTGACAGCTTTTGCTATAGTCAATTTTATGTTTATGTTGTTTGTATTTTTTTTAACCAAGCCTTGTTTTCTCTGACAAGTTTTAACTTGCAGGTTTTTTTTTTTGGTAGTTCTAAAGTGTTAGTAATTTTTCCTCTGGAGCAAGTGTTAGTATGTATAATTTTAGTGGTTATCAGTTTTATTTTGTGTTGCTTACTATATTTTGGTAGTGATACTCATTGTGAGTTAAAAATGGATAATTCACATTTAATTCTCGCTAATCTGTGAAACTTCTGACCAAATTCACTTTAGAATACTGAAGAATTGTTCTGTTCCTGATTGGTCCCTAATGTTTTATTATTATTTTAATATTTGGTTTTATTTGTAGGTGGGCAAAATAACCTTTATTTTTTATGTGGTGCTGTGGATTGAATTCAGTGCCTCATGTGTGCTAGGCAAGCACTCTACCACTGAGCCACAACCCCAGCCCATAATGTATTATTAATAACATTCTTCTAGTGGTAGAGCTCTAGCCTAGCATGCAGGGCCCTGGGTTAGATCCTCAGTACCACCTAAAAATAAATAAATAAAACAAAGGTATTATGTCCAACTACAACTAAAAAATAATAATACTAATAAATATTTAAAAAACATTCTTCCATATTCTTTTAAGGATTTGTATACCACATTCACATTGTTGGCAGAAAAAATAGCAAATGATGGGTCAAAATGTTCTTGTTAGTTCTGAAATAGTGCTTATCCCAAATCTTTGCATTGTTAGGTCTGACATTAAATATAGATTATATATTTAATGTTTATTCATTCTGCTAGTCAGAATTCTGAAATACCACTTATTCCACTAAGACAGAGTTAAAATAACTGATTTGAATTTATGTTTTATTTAATGATTGATCTTAAAGTCCTAAAGAGCAAAAGTGAAAATCTTGAATGTAACATTTTTTAAGTTGTTGCTGTTTTTTTCTAAATTCCTTTTACTGAATGCTTGACATGCTAAGTTTTCATATGAAAGTGTTTTATGAATACAACCTCTAGGCAAGTTACTTTATGAAATGTAACAGACATTTAAGAAATCATTATAGAATATGGTTCTGGGCTGGGGTTGTGGCTCAGTGGTAAAGTGATTGTCTAGCATGTGTGAGGCACTGGGATCGATTCTCAGCATTGATATATAATTAAAATAAAGCTCCATTGACAACTAAAAAAAATTAGAAAAAAAAGAATATGGCCAGACCACCCACACCAGCTCGTGTGGGACCCAGGCTCTCAGTAGGCCCAGTCCACCCCTCTCCTTGTGGGGCAGACACTCTCCATAGCCTAGGACTGCCCCTTCAATCAGCAGACTACTACAGGAGGTCAAGCCTTTCAGCCCAGATCCACCCGCACCGGCTTGTGCAGGTACCAGATCCAGGATGCAGTAGCATTCATTGATGTACACCAACAGGGTCTGGAAACCCAACATTAAGGTGAGGTTCAGATAATCTGCATGGGTACTACAAGAATATAGGGAACAAACTGTAATATCCCAGGTCCACACTACAAGAAAGGAAGACACATAACAAGGGAGGAAAGTGCCCCAAACAAACCAGAATTGAATAATTGAAGAACAGAACCCAGGGACAGTGAAGTTGATGAAATGTCAGACAAGGAATTTAGAAGCTTCATAATTAAAATGACCTGTGAATTAAAGAATGACCTATATGAGCAAATACAGGCAAAAATTGATACTTCAACAGTGAGATAAGAGAGCAAATACAGGTAGAAAAAGATTAATGAGAGAGAGAGAGAGACACTTTGAAAAAAAAAAAAAAAACAAAAACCAGAAATCCTTGAAATGAAGGATACAATATATCAAATAAAAAACTCAATAGAAGGGCTGGGGTTGTGGCTCAGATGTAGAGTGCTCACCCACCATGCTTGAGGTACCGGGTTCGATCCTCAGCATCCACATAAAAATAAAATAAAGATATTGAGTTCATCTACAACTAAAAAATAAATATTAAAAAAAAAAAACCTCAATAGAACGTATAACCAATAGACTAGATCACTTGGGAGAAAGAATGTCAGATAATGAAGACAAAGTATACAATCTGGAAAATAAAGTTGATCACACAGTAAAGACAGTTAGAAACCATGAACAGAACATGCAAAAATTATGGGACAGCATCAAAAGACCAAATCTAAGAGTTATTGGAATAGAGGAAGGCATGGAATTTCAAACCAAAGGAATGCATAATCTCTTCAATGAGATAATAACAGAAAATTTCCAAGAATGAAGAACAAATTGGAAAACAAAGTACAAGAGCTTTCAGGACACCAAATGTACAAAATTACAATAGGTCTACACCAAGGCACATTATAATGAAAATGCCTAGCATACAGAATAAGGATAGAATCTTAAAAGCCGCAAGAGAGCGGAATCAGGTCACATATCGGGGGAGATCAATTTGTATTTCAGCAGATTTTTCAACCCAGACCCTCAAAGCCAGGAGATCTTGAAACAACAAATACCAAGCTCTGAAAGAAGATGGATGCCAACCAAGAATCTTATATCCAGCAAAACTAAGCTTTAGATTTGATGATGAAATAAAAACCTTCCATGATAAACAAAAGTTAAAAGAATTTACAACTAGAAAGCCTGTACTACAGAACATCCTCAGACAGATATTCCAAGAAGAGGAAATGAAAAACAATGATGAAAATCAGCAGAGGGAGGGATTACACTAAAGGAAAATCTAATCACAGGAGAACAAGTCAGGTTAAATACTAAAAATAAACAAATATGGCTGGGAATACAAATCTTGTCTCAATAATAACCCTGAATGTTAATGGCCTAAGCTCACCAATCAGAAGACATAGACTAGCATATTGGATTAGGGAAAAAAAAAAAAAGACCCAACAATATGCTGCCTCCAAGAG